TCTCTCATGAAAAAATAAATAAAATCTTAAAATAAATAAATAAATAAATAAATTAGTTAATTAATCAATTAAACTGAAAATAAATGGGCCATGGTTTATGGAGAAGCCAAATGAAGGAAGCCATTCTTCCCACCCCCTGCCCCTCGGTGTTGCCTTCACTCCGGCCATAATTATCCTGCCCCCCCGCCCCCCACCAGCTGTGTCGCAGAAGGCTGGGCAGGCTATATTTTTCAGGGGTTAAAAAAAGAAACGCTGTTGGCTGGCAGATGGCTGGGTTTGTGGACTCGTCCAGTTTGAAGGTGCTCAGCCTGAAGCCTCATTCTTCTGGGCAGCCGTCCTGGGCCACTCCGGGCCTCCCTGCACCCCTCCCCAGAGTGCTCAGCCGCCCACTCTCTCCGATGAGCCCTAGCTTGGTCCGGCTGGGACACCCTCCTTCTCCCTCCTGCTGACTTGGGCTGACTTGACTTGTCATGGAGACAGACGCAGAAACACACAGACACACACACATAGAGACACATTCAGATACACAAACACACACACACATATATACAGACAGGCACACATACGCAGAGACCCTCAGACCCAGACACACACATACACCTCAAGGAACTTCAGTTGGTGTCCCCCGACCTGGGGGAGTGGGGGCATCACGTGGAAACAAGGGAGCTACAGAGCCACCTCTGTAGGGGAAGAAGGATCAAAAGTGACCTCAAGGGGTCAGGAAACAAAGGGTCCTGGCCCAGGCCAGGTGGCACAAGGGCCTGAATTCCCAGATGCCCCATTCAGCAAGCTGTACCCTGACGGGGAGGGGCTGAGGTGGGGGGAGGGGGCCTAGGGCTGGAAGCAAGAGGCTAGGTCCTTGGTGCTAAGACTGTGTGACCTGAGTGAGTTGCCCCGTCTCTCTGAGCATTGGGTTCCTTATCAGTGAGATGAGGGGCTGGGTGAGGTTTCCCTAAGAATGCTGAGATTCAGGGTTGGGTCTCATTCTGAAACCTTTAAAAAGGCTGACCTGATTGACACCAGGGGGGTAAGCACGGTGGTCATTCTAATCCATCAATCCCATGTGCACAGGCTTACCCAGAGAGAAGGAGACACCATCTCAGCATTGGGGGTAGGGGTTCAACGGGGAGGAGAGAAAGAGGAAGGTAGTCCTAGAGAAAATAATAATACAAATAATAATACACCTGTGCTTCCTGTCTCTGTGATCTGGAAGTTCTTCCTGAAGTCTGATCTAACTCCCTCATGCTGCAGCAGATTCTTCCAGCTCTTATTCTCACGTCCTGCTCATTCCCACCCACTGTGCTGGTACCTGAAACCCACCAAGCTGCTCCTCTGATTTCTGCATTGCAAAAGAAGCCTACTAAGAGAGGGTGATTGCCTTTGAAAATCCTCAAGTTTAGAATCTGTCGAAATCAATCAAAGTGAACTTGAAGGTACAGGGGCCACGGGAGAGCCTGGCAGGCCTGGGACACCTAATAGATGGTCCCCGTGTCAAGTTGGCTCAACCTCCATGTCTGATGGGCTTTAATATTGGTTTCCCCTAAACCAGGCCATTAGATGAAAATGCCCCTGAAGGGGTAGTCTGTTTAAACAATAACTGTCCCCCGGCAGAACATTCCCAGGATGAAGAGCCGACTACAAGGGACGGCAGGGGTTCCAGGCCTCTCTAGTGGGGCATAAGTCACTCTGCAGGCAGGGAGGAGTGGAGAAGAGCTGCGGTCAGAGGCGGGGACCCTGGGGTTAAGAATCCTGGGGTCAGTCATTCCTCTCCTGCCTCC